GATGGGGGTCTCACTAACTTTTTGTCCAGGGTGACCTCAAATCAATCTTTGCCTCCCCAGTAACTAGGACTACAGACTTCCTGTGGTCTGGCTGATTAAACTACATATTTTCTTTTCTCATTTAAAATGCTTCTGCATACTCAAAATAATAAAGACAAATTTTTTAAGATTCATGTTTGTCTGTTTTTTAGTTGATTCTAAGTAACAGAGAAAATATCTTAATTATTTCTACATTTACTACTTATCTACTCTAAGACTTAGGTTGATGGCACTAAACAAAATCAAGATGATGTGTTCCATCACATGCTGTGTTCAAGGACTGGAAAGCATACTGTCTTCAATAGAGTAGTTTATAGATCAAGCCATATATTGTATATGTATATGTGTGTGTGTGTGTATATATATGTTTTTGTTTTGGCAGTAATGGGGTTTGAATCAGGGCCTCACACTTGATAGGCAGGCACTCTTACTGTTTGAGCCACTATGCTGCCATGTTTTTTTCTTTTTTTGGCAGCACTGGGGTTTGAACTCAGGGCCTCACACTTGATAGGCAGGCACTCTACCACCTGAGCCACTCCATCAAACCTATATACTTATATTTTTAAGTTAATCAGAAGATAGAAAGTTTACCTATTTTATTTTCCACTTCACTATAAACTGAGTAATTTAACCTCATTTAACCTTTGGATTGCAAATTCATTAGATGAATGTATGGAAAGAATAAACTATTCCTAGGATTTTAAAATACATACATTTTTATTTGAAGTAGTTTTCCTCCATTTAAATCATACATTGAACTAAAATATCCTGTGGTTATATGCAGTACACAAAAATCTTTTAGATAATTACTAAAAAAGAAACTTTATAGCCTTTTTTTTTGGATAAAAGAGGGTGAAGTCATGAAGCAGCTTAGGTAGATCACAAAAGCCAGGATACTACAAGGTACAAATAGTAAGGACATGTTGAAGTGGTATTTTGTTTCTTGAATATTAAAAACTTCATCTTCCTTAAAACACATCACAGGGTTTAAGGAAAAAATTTAAATATGTACAAAAGTACAGTAATAAGATAGCAAAAAAAATAACAACCAAAACCAATCATGCCAAAACAAAACAAGAAAACTTGGTAGTCATAAAACTAATATGCAAAAATATGTCTTAAATTGAACTCTTGGGTTTATATCCTAAAACTTTGCCAAACTAAGGCAGAAACGTCTACAAAAAAACTGATTCCTCTTCTCAGCTTCAGAAAGAAACACACACACTCAGCTGTCTCCAGGGATGGTGGTGGGGAGTGGTCAGAAGGAGAGGTTTTTCAATAACCAAAAAGTCTATCAGTGCTGTGTACAAAAACCAGCAGCATGAACACATCTGCTCCAATGAGAACACAAGATGCTCATTTCATTTATGGGCTTCTATGTAGAATTTATGTTGTAACAGGCCAGTCATTTTAGAAGAAAAAGAGAGATTCCTAAAACCTTTCAACTTCTACACAAAACAGACCCTGACAGCACTGGGTTTGAACTCAGGCAGGGCCTGTGGCTTTAGCTAGACAGGTGCTTTGCCACTTGGGCCATGCCCCCAGCCCGTTTCTTTCTTTAAGTCCTTCTTTTAAGTCAAAATAATTTATTTATGGATTTAAAAATCTGTCATAGATTTCTGTTCATAAGAGATTCATACTTATGACATAAATGTAACAAAATGATCCCTAACTACATTGTGCTCTCCAGCCCATAGCCTTTTTTTTTTTCTTTTTGATGGTACTGAGGTTTGAACTCAGGGCTTCATGCTTGCTAGGCAAGCACTCTCCACTTGAACAATTCCGTCAGCCCAGCCTTTGGTGGAACTAAAACTCACTACTCTGAGTACATGTATAGGACTTTTCATTTTTTTGTTTGTTTTTTGAGACAAGATCTCTTTATGTAGCCTAAACTGCCCTTGAACTCACGAGATAGTCCAGGGTGGCCTCAAACTTGAGATTCTCCTACCCAGGCTGAGATTACAGTTGTATACAAACACATGCTTGCAGAACTTCTTTATTTAAAAAAAAAAAAAAAATGACTGGAAAAATCATCATTAATTCTTTAAGCCTTGATTTCCTTATGTGTAAAATGAAGATCCCTTCATTTTGAACTGATTCCCTCCAACTGTAAACTACAAATATCTGTATAGGTGGATACTCAGAAATGCTCAAGAAATAGAAAGTACAAAAATGAAAGACTGAAAGAGGGTTCTGTATCAACCCAAACATAGGTCTACATAAGGATTTCCCAAAGCTTTAAAAAAATTCCACAAACCCAGAGGTAAGAAAGCAACTGGAGTCTGGTGCCAGTGGCTCACACCTGTAATTCTAAACTACTCAGGAGGCAGAAATCAGGAGGATCCCAGATTGAAGCCAGCCCAAGCAAACAGTTTTGAACACCCTATCTCCAAAAGGTCCATCACAAAAAAGAGCTGGTGGAGTGGCTCAAGGTATAGGCCATGAGTTCAAACCTCAGTACCAGGAACAAGGTAAAAAAAACAAATAACAACTGGTGTAGGCCACCCTCATTGGTGCTTTCTTTGTTTATTTTTGAGGGGTTGTTGTTATTGTCTGGATGTCTTGAGGTTTTGAAATCAGGGTCTTGCACTTGCTAGGGGAGCACTCTACCACTTGAGCCAGGCCCCAACCCCTGGTGTTAGTTTTTAAGGATGGGAAAAAATTGACAGTCAGGTTGTCAGACTGACAGGTTGACAGTTTCTAGTCTATATGCTATGTACACATAAGAAACTTTCAAAGGGGCTTCCTTTAGCTTAGTTATGCCCTGAAAGCCAACCAGAAGGGTCTTTCTTGATGACATCCAGGACTACCATGGCCAAGCTCCAAAGTCCTTTGCTAAAAATAGGTGAAAAGAACAGCTCAAATTTGGAATAAGCCAATGTCTATGCTACACCCTCACATATATATGATATATAAAGATGTATCTATATATGTATATATACATATCATATAATGAGGGAGAATTCAGCAAAAAAAGAAGCAAATACTAAAAGCATATTTGTTCTGTTGACATTTAAGTACTAAATTTCAAAGCAACTTATATGGTCACAGAAACTGATTACACACAGAAGAAAACCTTTACAAATGCTACATGCATACCATAAACCTAAGGGAAAAAAATATTATCCAACCCTGTACCTCAAAACATATCTTAGATCACAAAATGTGGGGAATCAAACACTAACCATTATTTATTTATTTATCTTGCAGTACTGGGGCCCACACCTTGAGCCACTCCACCAGCCCTTTTTTGTGATGGGTTTTCTAGAGATAAGTCTCAAGAACTATTTGCCCAGGCTGGCTTCAAACCGGGATCCTCCTGATCTTTGCCTCCTGAATAGCAAGGATTACAGGCATGAGCCACAGGTACCCGGCCAACACTAATCATTATTAAATCTAATCCCTTGTGTTACTGATGATTTAAAACCACCAGAGAAATTTAAGATGCCCTAAGTATCAAAATGAGGAAAAAGATGGCTTCAAGTCTAAGATAGCAAAAGTAAAGAAAAACAAATTAGTAGGATATATAATTTTTTTTTAATTGGTTGCTGGTGCCTGTCATCCTAGCTACTTGGGAAGCTAAGATCAGGAAGATCTCAATTTGAGGCCAGCCTGGGCAAATAGTTCATAAGACCCCATTTCCAAAATATCCAAACCAACACGGATTAGAGGTATGGATCAAGCTGAAGAGAGCCTGTTTTGCAATTGCAAAGCCTCTGAGTTCAATCCCCCCAGTCCCACCAAGAAAATAAATAAAATTTATTTCACTGGTTAAGCATTTGCTCTACTGCTTGAGCCACAATCCCAGCCCAGCCCTTTTTGTGTTAGTTATTTTTCAGGTAGGGTGTCATGATTTTTGTTTGCCCAGGCCACCGACATCCTCCTACTTGTGCCTCTCCAACCCTGTAGCTGGGATTAAGGTGTGAGCCTCCAGCACCTGGCAAGTTAGAAAAATATTCTAAGAAGTTCTGTAATACCTGTCTTAGGACAAACAGGAAGAAGACGCTTGTTAATATGGTTAAAAACTGGGTGGACAAGGGGGGAACAATGTGTAAGAGGTAAGGATAGGGATACATATCTGTATACTGTATTCGACTAAAGAAAATCACTTTGAAATTTCGATAGTGAACCCCAGCAGAAACCGCCTCAGTAACAATAAAGAGCTTTAGAATAAGCTTGTAAAACTGGAAGTCACAGCAACTGTCCTCTCAGCAGAAACCAGAGCTGACAGTCCCAGAGCTCCCTATTTTGCCTCAGCTGTGCACATCCATTCTCCTGGGACAGACACCATCAAAGTGACAGGACGCCCTCCTGACCTGTCAATTAACAAGACAACGCAAGCCCAATCGCGAGCAGTACCGTGGGCCTGCCACCTGTTAGCTGCTCTTGAGCGAGCCCCAAAACTCAGCTCGGACGAGGATTTGGGGGCGCCTTTGTTCTCCAAGACGGAAGCGGCCAGGGGTCTTCCCAGATTGGGGCTCCGGCTAAGAAAAGGCTGGAGAACTCCAGGGCTAGCACGAACGTCATCTGCTGGTCCCAGGAGGGGGGAAGGAAGGGTCAAAGGTGAGGAAAGCTGGGTGACCGGGACCTGAAGAAAGGCTCGGTTTTGCAGTGGAAGAGGGTGAGCACAATGAGGAGGTGGCCGTCCCGCTGGATGAAAGAAGAGCGAGATCCCAGCTCAGGAGTTGGAAAGAGGTGCTCAAATGAGAGGGCAGGGAGGGAAACCGAGAGGCAGTGGCTGAGGCGAAAGACAAGAAACCGAGGTTAGAAAGGGGCTGACGAAGCTGAGGAAAGAAAGGCTACGCTGAGGTGAAAGAGGCGAGGCCACCGTGAGGGAAAAGGGCTGGGGGAGGGAAGAACTGCAGGGACAAGGGAAAGGACCCCCACCCACAAGGGCCCTTCCCCCTACTGGCTGTACTCAACCAGCCATGGCTCAGATCCCGTCGGCGGCGGAGACTCACCCAAAGACTGCTGATACCCCACAACAAGACATGAGGACCGGTCCAGACCCACAGTGGAACCAACACAGTAAAGGAAACCGCGGCGCTAGCGTGACCCGGATGCGCATCCCTAGGAACCGGAAGTAAGCGGCCGGGATCACCTCACGCCCCACCAGAACCCTCTGGGCGCATGCGTTGGACCTCTCGGGGCCGGGAAGAGCGTAGGCCCCGCCCCCTCCACCACTCTGACGAGCCACGCCCCTGTCCACCTCCCCCCACCCCCTCCCACCCCCTCCCACTCCCTCCCACCCCCGCCCCCTCCCATCCCCCACCCCTACCCGCGCTCGGCGCCTCTGAGCTCTGCAGCAACCGATAAAGTAGCTGCTGGTTGCTGCTGAACCATTACAGCCCAGACAGAGAATTACAGCCCGAATTTTTCAAGGGGGTCTTTTAAAATGTGTGTAATCCCCATCTTCCTAAGGGGAACATGAGGAGAAATGCTGGGTGCATTTGGTAGATTTAAAAAAACTGGGGGAGGAAGAATAGATAGGAAGTTTTCAAAGATACTTGGAAGGCTGGCCTAAGGTGGGGTTTTTTGTTTTGTTTTTTGTTTTTGATGGTACTGGAGTTTGAACCCATGGCCTCGCTTGCTAGGCAGGTGGTCTTGAGCCACGCCCCCAGCCATAAAGTGATCTTTTAAATCCCCCAATTTAATTTATGCCTAATATTATATTGCTCTTAGAATTGACTTTGTGCACGTTGTTTTCAGAAACAAAAAATTTTAATGCTTCATTAATTTTAAATTACAACCCAAGTATGGGCAAGAAGCAAGATTGAATTCAGGTTTTGTGGACTACTGAAGCTTATTCAACTTGAGGGGTCCTTTTTAGGAAAAAGAATCAAAAACACAGTATTAGATATGAAAGTAAATCTTCTATAATGAGAAAAAGAAATCACAGTGTTTTATAAATACTGGCTCACAACACCACAAATTAAAAATGGGGGGGGGCATTGTTTTTTTTTTAACTGCATGATCTACTCTAAAATACTTTCTTGCCCTCCTTTTTTTTGGCTGTGTTTTCTTTGCTCATCTCTTCTTATGACAACAATTTACTAAGCAGTATCATTTACTAAGATCCTTAACTCCTCTTTTTCATAACCCACATGTAACTCATCAGCATAATCTGTAGTAACTGATTTCAAAATCTGTCCAAAATCTGAGCATTTACTCCAGCGCTTGGTAGAAATCACAATCTGTGACTTTGAGTACCATATTTATACCATTGCCCATCCTCAGTCTATTAACACAGTCAGTGACTCCTGTTGAAATCCTAATGTCCCTCCAAAGAAATACCTTCTCGGAGTGAAAACCAAAATGCTTAGTTTGGCCTACAGGATCCTCAAGAATTGACTCCTCCCAGTATAACTCTAATCTCCTCGCCATCCCCGGCTGTCAGCTCTCTGCTTAAGGCACACTGGCCTCTTTGCTGTTCCTCAAACCTGCAGGTAGACTCAGGGCCTATGACTTGCTGACCCCTCTGCTTGGAATGCTTTTTCCTCAGGTACCTGCATCACTCCCCCTGTCACCTTGTTTACATCTTTATTCAAATGTCACCTTGTCAATGAGACCTTCCCTGACACAATATTTGCATTCGGAACACTATCATCCTCCTTGTTGTACTTTCTACCCCAGTTTCCCAGATAATTTTTCTCTAATAACATTTATCCCATTGCTTGTAAATTTGTCTTACTATCTCTTCCTCCCCTCCAGAGTGCAAGTGCCATGAAAGCGTGGATGTTTGTCCGTTTTATTCATGGACATATTTCAGCACCAGCACCGGAGCGTGGCACACAGTGGATGTCCAGTAAATGTTGTTTGAATGAAAGGGTAAATTGTTCATTTATTTTTGGGATAAGATTGCTCATTGTACTTTGCTTTCACTGGTCTAAAAGCACGCAAGCTGTCACCAATTCCACCAGAGGGAGCCCTTGAATAACTAATGTGATATCTCCATGAATGTTTTTCCTAAAGCATACGCTCTACATAAACCTACAAAAGACCTGCAGGAAAACACATGAATTCCTTCCCAGAATAGAGTATTGTGTACCTTACTAGCAATGAAAAAAGAAAAGAAAACCCTCCAGTGTCTTTTACTACTTTGACACCAAAATTCAATTTCCTTACTATGACCTACAAGGCCCTGGTTGACCTGCCCTATTCAGCTCTCAAATGGCACACTCAGCCTCTTCCCTCCTTGAGTCCCAGCCATGCTGGTCCTCCTTTCTGTTTCCTTTTTTTCTTTTCTTTTCTTTTTTTTTTTTTTTTTTTGTGGTATTGGGGCTTGAATTCAGGGCCTTCACCTTGAGCCAGTCCACCAGCCCTATTTTTGTGAAGGGTTTTTCAAGATAGGGTCTTATGAACTTTTTGCCCAGGCTGGCTTCAAACCATGGTCCTCCTGATCTCTGCCTCCTAAATAGCTAGGATTACAGGTGTGAGCCACCAGTGTTGGGCTTTTTTTTTTTTTTTTTTTTTTTGGTTTGTATTGTTTTTTGTTTGGTTGGTTTTTTGCTTTTATTTATTTATTTGGCAATAAGAACCAAGCTCCTCGGGGATGTCTCTCTTGTTCACTGCTGAATTCCCACACTAGATGTGTGATGTTGGGTGGTTAACATTTACTGAAGCTTTACTATATGTCATTGACTGTACATAGTAAATACATCAGTGCTCACATTTCTCTTAATTCTTCCACCAAACATGGGAAGTATTATTATTTCCATTTTACAGAAGAGGAAACTGAGGTATGCAGCAGTTAAGCAACTTGCTTCTGGCCAGAAGACTGGCAAGAAGCAAATTAAGACTTAAGTCCAGGCTTGTGTGACCTCAGAGCCCAGAATGGTAACTTCCAGACCATGCTCAGAAGAGCAGCAGGTAGCCAAGGATGGGCTTATTTTCTTACAAGTTTCTCTTCTCCAATTGCAGGAATTTTGTTCCCTGCCAGGTCAACAAGGAGTGGAAATGTTTGTTTTTGTTTTGTGTGTGTGTGTGTGTGTGTGTGTGTGTGTTTTGTGTTGTTGTTGGTTTTGTTTACTCTTGCCATACTGAATTACTGCTGAAGACAAATCTAAAGAAATATGGAAAAATATGGTTAAGGTTTATTAAGCTGAGTTGTAAGGACTCCAATATTTGTTATGCAATTTCCTACTCTTTTTCTGTAAATTTCAACTATTTCATTCAAAAATTAACACAAGGGCTGGTACAGTAGATCAAGCGGTTGAGCACCTGCCTAGCAAATGTGAGCCCTGAGTTCAAACCTCAGTACTGAAAAAAAAAATGTAGCACAAAAAAAGGCTATTAATATAGTCCAAAAATGTTGTAGACAAATCTTTCTAAATAAAAGCCAAAATGCAGATCAAAATACAAAACTAATTACATTAAAACTAAATAATTACACTAAAAACTAAAAGAGACTAACAATAAGGCCTCTAAATTGTATATTTCCATTTTTACAAGACATAATGAATATATGACCAGTATTTTCTGATGGGATTAATTTAAATCCTTCTTCTTCCTCTTCTTCTTTTTCTTTTTTTTTTTTTTTTTTTAATTTTTTGGCAGCACTGGGGATTGAACTCAGGGCCTCATGCTTACTAGGCAAGTGCTCTACCACTTGAGCCACTACACCAGCTCTTTTGTGTGATGAGTTGTTTGTTTTTTTTTTAAGATAGGGTCTCACGAACTATTTGCTTGGGACTGGCTTTGAATTACTATCCTTCTGATCTCTGCCTCCTGAATAGCTAGGATTATAAGCATGAGTCACCAGCAAGCAACAGAGAGAAGAGAAGCAAGGCCTTCTTTTCTTTTCTTTTTTTTGGCTGCACTGGGGTATGTACTCCAGGTCTCATGCTTGCTAGGCAAGCATTCTTACCCCGTGAGCCCCTCCACCAGCCCTTAAACCCTCCTGATTGACATACGTGAAGTACAATGATTTAGGGTTTATTTCTTTTCTCTAATGTACTTAACATATGCTTAAAAAAACATTTGGTGCTGGGGATTGAACCCAGAACTTTGCACATGCTAAGCTCATGTTTTGCTACTGAGCTGCCTTCCCAGACCCAAGACAATTTCTTATTCTGTACATGTCAGGTAAGCCTCTAAAAGCAGTCTATAATTGATAGGATTGTAAAATGGTGCAAACACTACAGAAAATAGTATGGTGGGTCCTCAAGAAAATTAAAAATAGAGCCAGGAAGATAATCCCAGTGATTGGGAGACTATAACAGAAGGATCATGAGGCCAAGGCCATCGTGGGCTACACAGGGAGACCCTGCCTTCAAAAAAATTTTTTTAGGGGGCTAGGTATGGTGGTGTCACATGCCTATAATCCCAGCTACCTGGAAGGCATAGGTAGGAAGAGTACCTACCAAGCAAGTGTGAAAGTCTAAATTCAAATACCAGTACCACCAAACAATAAAAAAAAAAATTAACAGGCGCTATGGCTCAAATAGTAGTGCACCTGTCTAGCAGGAGTGAGGTCCTGAGTTCAAACCCTGATTTTTTAAAAATAGGACTATATAATCCAATAATCCCTGTCTGGGTAGATATCCACAAAAATTGAAGTCAAAGTTTCAAAGAGGTAGCTGCACACCTGTGTCCATATCCATAGAGGTACTATTCACAATAGCCAAGAGGTAGAAGCAACGGAAATGTCTGTCCTCAATGATGGATGAATAAGCAAGGTGTGGTATAGACAGATCATGGAATACCATGTGTCCATCTACAAGTCATTTGCAAAAGAACAATATGTTATGATTCGTTTATATGAGGTATCTAAATTAGTCAGAGTCATAGATACAGGAAGGAAAGTAGTGATTGCAAGGGGCTGGGAAGAGGGCAAAAGGGAGTGCTATTTAGTGAGCGTAGAGTTTCAGTTCTTCAATGAAAGGTTTTGGAGATATGTTTCATACCAGTGCAAATATACTTAATGCTTCTAACCTGTGCACTTAAAAATGGTTAAGGCCTGGGTGTATGGCTCAAGCTGTAGACCGCCTGCCTAACAAGAACAAAGCCCTGAGTCCAAACCCTAGTACTGTCAAAAAAAAAAATTGCATTACATCTCACATATTTTGACTCAGGAATT